GAGTGCTGCAACTAAGACCCGTGCAGACAAATAAATAAATATTAAAAGAAAAAAAGAAGAAGACAGGGGATCAGGAGTGACCAGCAGCAGAGAGGACTCAGGCCACTGAAGGAGGAAAGGAGGGGGCACTGCAAGCCCCCTTTGCCCTGCCTGGTCCTGGGGCGTTGGTCCTGGTCTCAGACTCTTTGTCCCTTTGGAGCCCCGGCCGGGGTGCAGTCCCGCTTCCCTCTTTCCTATGTCCCGCTATCTCCTCCCCAAGATCTGCCCGCAAGCTGGCTTGCGAGAGCACTAAGACGGAGTAAGAGAAGGGGAGCAGGTTTGGAGAAAGTTGAGGAACCCCCACCAGCCCTGCTCCTGTCTCCCCTACAAGGTCTGGCTGAGGACAGTGAGCTCTCCAGTCCCCTTTGCAGGGTCTCATCCCTGTGCCCTGGCCCCCGGGGCAGAGCTTATTCTGGGCATTTGGGGTTTAAAAGTGAAAAATGATGTGAAGACGTGGTGTTTGGCGTCACCTTGTGGCCAATTCAAGTTCTCATGCCTGGTCTGCGCCAGGCCTTGAGAGGCTATGTTACAGGGAGCAGGGACACAGGACCCTGCCACAGGGAGAGACGAGAACACGGCACCAGGAGCCCAAGAGAGCTGCGTTCAAAGGGCTGATCCCACCTCTTATTTCCTGACCTTGTGGCTTTGGGTATCTCCCACCCTATCTCTATTTTCCCAACTGCAATGGGAAAATCGACCTCTCCTGCCTCCCTCTCTATGAAATTGAGAAGCTTCCCTGAAAAGTGAGTGGGACCCCAAAACCCAGCATCCCTAAAAGTTTTCACTCCCATGAGGAACCATTGGCATACAGCAGGGCCAAGCCTGGGCCAACTGGTCTGGGTCACAAACCCAGACTGGAGCAGCCCAATCACCCCTCCAGGACCCCTCCCTGAGTGCTCAGAACCTCCCCACTGTGGGCCCAGCTCCATCTCTCTGAGGACAGGGGATAAGGTGGAGGGGGGGTTGCAGAGGTCCTTCTTTTCTGTTCCATTCTTTCTGCAGCCACATAGCAACCTAGAGCAGTCTGCATGCGTAGGAGGCAAGATGGTAAAACTACAAAGAAAAATCAGAGAGATTCCCATAGAAGTCAAGGGAGGGGGGACACGGAGCAGGGGCAGTGGTTGCTTCTGGGGTCCTGGCAATATTCTGCTTCTTCACCCAGGTGATGGTTACATGGGTGTTGGCTTTATAAGTATTCATGCTACTAGCCTTTACGTTTTAGGCATTTTTCTGTCCATGATGTCATTCACAAGGGAAGAAAAAGTTCTAACTGGGTCTCACATTGCTCAAAACTCTCCCTCTGTTTCAATTGCTTCCCTTTGCAGAGAGTCGAAAGGCACACCCGGGGACTTCCCTGCGGTCCAGTGGTTAGGACCCCACGCTCCCACTGTAGGGGACGTGGGTTCAATCCCTGGTCAGGGATATAAGATCCCGCATGCCACATGGTGTGGCCGAAAAAAAAAAGAAAAAAAGAAAGAAAGGCGCACATGGATTGCAGAAATACCTAGAGGTTGAACTGACAAATTTGGCCCATGGTTGGCGAGGGTGAGGGATACAAGCAGAAGGGGGTGTTGAAGCTGATGCCGGAAGTTTCAGTTTCACTGCTGAGAAAAATGAGGTGCTCAGGCCACAGCCTCTAGAGGGAGCCCCAGCCACTGTTTGGCCCACAAAATAACTTCCTAATGGACTTCATAAAAATGCAACTCTAATAACCTCAGTCCCCTCTGAAAATTCAACAAAGGCTTCCCACCACCATCAGGATAATAAATTCTAAGCTCTTCCCCTGGCTGATGGGGTCCTTCAAGCCCTGCCTCTTGCCATCCGGCTCCTGGCCTCTCCATCTCGCTCAGGCTTCCTCTGCTCCTGGAACTTGATGGAGATCTGGCGTCCCAACATCAGCCTTTGCAGATCCCTCTACTGGAAATCCTCTTCGGCTTTGTCTCCCTAACTCATCAGCTAAAGCATCATATGCTAAGGGAGGCCTGCCCCGACCCCCCAGCTCCAGTGGGTTCCCCATTCCTTTTACACCCTCTCATCATCCCCTAGCACCTCACATTCATGACATTTTGCACAGTTTAATGTCTGCTTCTTCCATCACATGGGCACTTCCATGAGGTCAGGGTAACTGGTGGAAGTTTTCCGTTGGACAGGGAGCCTTCAGGGCAGGGCAGGGCTGGAGCTCCTTCTCCTTCTCCAACCCCCTCCCCAACAGAGGCAAGGATGGAGCTGGACCCAGAAAGCCTCAGCCTGGAACCACGGACTGGTTTTTCCTCCTTACAAGGAGGGCCAGGAGCCCCTGTACCCACCACCTCTCCGCTGGGAGCCTGCTGGCCTCCGTACATTTTCCTTCCCACCACCTTGCTCCACCCTCCACAGGAGGCCAATAGAGAGGCTCCTCATTCAGAAGAAATTGTTTCTTCCTCCTCTTGTTGCCATGGAGACCATTCTCCTTCACCTGCCCTTCCAGTCACAGAGCTGAGGGAGGCGGGCTGAAAGCTTCAAGCAGGGAGGGCCTCAGCGTGCGTTCAGCCCCTCGTTCCTGATGCTTGATGAGGCCGTGGAATCTAAGGTTAAGAATTCAGGTTTCAGAGTCAGACCTTCAGGGTTTAAGTTCCAGCTCCGGCTCTCTGTTCCATCTTGGGCGAGACACCTCACCCGTCTGAATCTCAGTTTTGTCATCTGTAATGGGAATAAAAATAGTACCTGCTTCATAGCGTTGCTGTGAGGATTAAGGAAGATGAAAGAAAGGAAATGCACTTAGACACATAGTAAGGGCTTCACACATATAAGCTATCGTATAGATGCCCGTGATGTACGAGCCAGGCACTGCGACAGGCAGACAGGCACGGATGGACAATGGCAGCACGACGACCGATTTGGGAGGATTTGTTTCTACATGTGTCATCTTCCCTGAGTCTTTCCCACATGTTCAACTTAGTTTCCAGAAAAATGATAACTCCTGCTCCCCCCCCCCCATATTTCATTGGTAGAGGACACGAAGTAAATTCCCTAATTACAATAATAAATCCAACAAGCATAGAAGAAGTGTGGGAACGCACACTTCCGACGCTTGGGAAACAACTCGGCTAGGGGAAGAAGTCGAGCAGGCAACACCGAGCAGCGTTTTTCAAACCGCAGCTCACAACGCTTAGAGAGCCATTGTAACACAAACTTAGCGAGCTGTCACCGCGACTTTTTTTTTTTAATGAAATAGAAAATATGTCAAAGCACCTCACACATAGTCAAGTATTGTTTCAGGAAACTTTTGTTTTAGTTACACATATGTGTGTGTGCTGGGGGTCTCACCTGGGTCCTGGGCCCCCAAACATGATGTTCCTTGTGCAAGAAGAACACCTCCTCCCCTGCCTCCCACTTCCCCACATACACACTCAAACACACACAAACACACACATTCTTTGCTTGGTGAACTCATTTTCTAGGTCTCAGCTTTAAGTGACATCATTTTGGTGTCATAATTTTCTTTGATGAATCGATTACTGGTTATTTAATTTATTCATGTCCGTTTCTGCCCACACACTAGATCTGAGCTCCTGGAGGTAAGGAATGCATCCGTTTTGTTGACCTTTGTGGACCATTGTTAGCACAGTGCTGACTCTATCAAGACACAAGTAGGTATTTGGAAAGACACATGAGGGGACATGGGGAAGGAGGAGAAGGGGGGCTGGGAGAGACCAGGGTTGGATACACCTGCCAGGGAGAGGTGCAGGCTGAGGGGATGCAGTGTGGGGCGCTAGTGAGGCTCATGGACCCTGGTCCCAGACTAAGTTTGAATCCTTGCTGCATACTAACCGGGGGAAATTGGGGCCCCACCTGACCTCCCTACACCTCCGTTTCTTCATCTAGTCCTTGGCTGCAATGAGGGGCTCATGAGTTCCTCCTGTAAAGTGCTTGCAACACCAGTACCTGGTGTATAGTAAGTACCTCGTATTAATCGTTCTCCTCCCATGGGGAGGGTCCCTTCGCAAGGGTGTGGGTGAGATCACCCAGAGGTGAAGAATGGGGTTAAGGACTGAGCTTCAAGGTGCCCATCAGTCGAAACTCGGGGTGGGGGGGTGGAGGGTTTTAGGTGAGGACGGCAGCAAGGAAACGGAAGGGGGAACATGGCCAGTGCTGCCTTGAGGTGGAGGGGGGACGGGGCTTTCTAAATGGTGGATTTTTTAGTTTGGATGCTAAAGGGAGGGAGGGAGGGAGGCACTCAGCTGGATAGAGGGGACGGGGCGGGGGGGGGGGCGGGGAGCGTACTTGGAGGAGGAGGGGAGGTGCACCCAATCTGTCCCCTCTTCCAGGATGGACTTTCCTGGGGGTCAACGCGGGTGGCAAGTTTGGGGGACAGAGGGTCAGTCTCAGGAAGGCACAGGGTCACGATGGAAGTTTGAAACAAAACTTCCACAGGAACCCAAGGCTCCGAGCTCCCCCAGCCCAGGCTCTTTCTGACAAAACCACTGAGACCTCCAAGCAGGATGGGAGGGGCCCCTAGGAGCTCGGGACCCCGCCTCCGCCCCGCCCGGTCAGACCAGCCAGAACACTTTGTACTTAAGGAGGGAGCCCAGCGACCGGGGGGCCGAGCTTCAGGAGGTGGCGCCGGGGCTGAGCCGGCGCGGGGGAAGGATTCCGCAGGCTGAGCGGGCGGGACCCGAGAATACAAAGAGGCCTCAACGCGCAGCTCCCGGCCCGCCAGACACACAGAGGAATGAATGGGGACGGCAGGGCCAATCCGAGAGCAAGATTCACAGCCGCGGGCGCAGGGGCCAATCGGATCCCCGACGAGGCAGCGAGGCAGGGACGGAGCCAATCAGGTGTGAGGACAGGGCCAGGGGGCGGATCCGCGCGGTGTTTCAAATCCTCTGGATGGGTGAGGAGCAGCTGTGCTCGGCGTCTGGTGAGCGTTGGGCGCTGTTGGGTGAGTGCGGGCCGGGGCGTGGTAGGGCCTCTGTTAAGAAGGGACGGGAGGGGGGACCTCCCGTTAGGACGGACACATGTGGGGCTTCTGGGTATAGCCGGATGGACATTGGGGTGTCTGGTCAGCCCGCCAGAGCGCGTTGGGTCAGGGCGAACCCGTGAAAGAGCCGCTGGTCCTGCCCTGGACCAAGTGCTGAGGCTCGGTGGCGGCCGGCCAGTCCTGACTGCCTCCCTCTCCGCCTGAGGCAGATAACGGAAAAGAGGCTGGGATGAAAAGACAGCTTGTTTCAGACACTAGCAGCACGGGACACATTGCTGACCGGGCTTGTTCAGCCTCTACCCTCTTCTGGTCCTCGCTGACCCCTCTTCCAGGAAGCATCCTCCTTCCTGCACCGACAGTTTCCAAGTGCCCCACCCCACGGGCCCCCATCGCATCTCTTCCCCCGGTAGTCAGGGTGTCTTTGAAGCCTGGGAATGGGACAGTGGGGGGATGCCTTGCTGACCTCCCTTTGATCTCCTCTCCAGGGTCTGCTGGGCAGAACAGACTCTCGGCCGGGCAGATGGCTTCTCGGTGGCCGGCCGTGGGGGCCTCCATGCGTCGGAGGTCCCTACAGAACCAGGGGCAGCTGGAGGAGAGCGAGGCCCTACAGCCTGCAGTTGGCCACCCAGACACCTCCAGCGGGGCCCTGGACTCCCTGTGCAGACAGTTCCAAAGGAGGCTGCCCCTGAGAGCAGTCAGCCTCAACCTCAGGGCGGGCCCCTCCTGGAAGCCCCTGGAAACCCCACAGCCAGGACAGCAGGGCCTCCAGGCTGCAGCTCGCTCAGCTAAGAACGCCTTGGGTGCCGTGTCCCAGGTAATATCGAACATGTCCAGGTACGGAGGGCCTTCTTGATGCTGGATAATAGCTGCCCCCGAGGAGCCCCCAAGAATACAGACTCTGTGAAGACAGGGCCTTTGATTTGTTCATTGCTGTGTCCCCAGCACTCCGAATAATTGCTGGCACGTAGCAGGTGCTCAACAGATAGCTGAATGAGTGAATGAAAGCAGTGTTGTGAGGAAACAGAGCCTCATAAGACAAGATGATAGAGCTGTATTGTGATAGGAAATTGCATTCAAGGGGCTAATGGTGGGGGAACACCAAAAAGCAGCTTAGTCAGTGAAGGCTTCCCGGAGGAGGTGATTCCGTGGAATTCGCCCAGGAAAAGGGGGAAGTATGAGGAGTGTACAAGGCAGGTGAAATAGTCCAGACCCAGGGCTGAGGGAGGGCAAGATGCTGAAGAGAACTGGCAGGAACTTAGTCTATGTATGGCCGGAGGACAGAGCGCAGCGTGGGACGTGAGAGGGGCTCGGTGCGCCGAACATGTTTAGATGCTCCCAAGGGCAACTGGGAGCCCTGGGAACCAGTGGGAAGAATTTGCAACATGGTGGGAATTGGGTCCGATTAGCATATTAGAACTTGTTCTTTAGCTACTTGATGAAAAGGGGGTTAGAAGAAGATTCGCCTCTGAGGGGGTCTGGGGGTCTGGCCTTGCAGAGGAGTGAGCAACTTCAAGAACTGCTCAGAAGATAGCTTTGAGAGGATTTGGTATCAGATGAGAGGTGTGGGCAGGAAGAGGCCACGTGTGCTGGGGCTGACAGGTCCGTGGGCCTCCCAAGTGGCTGTGTCTCCAAACCTAGAGCTGGAGGTGTGGGGAGGTGTCACCTAGGAAGGACAGGAGCTGTGAGAGTGGACAGGCCTCCAAGGAGAGACCTGGGGGTGGGCAGGGCATCTCCTTGCTGAGTGGGAATCTGAAGGTTTGGGAGAGGGAAGCATTTCTGGACCCTCTGAGGAGAAGTCTCTGAGCCAAATGTCAGTCCCTGAGAAGGATCTCTGTGCAGCAATGTGGACGGTAGATTAGAGTGAGGGAGACCAGAAGCCGGCAGAGAAATTATTGCACAGTATCCTGTGGGTAGGCCTGCTCTCCTCTGGGCCTCCCCTTTGAGGCTGGGTCAGTCTGTCCCGAAAGAGGGTTTGGACTTAGACCAAATGTAGACTCCATGAGCCAGCGTGGTTCTGCTGCTGGCCACGCGCTCATCCCCGGGGGCCCTGAGCTGGGTCCTTGCCGTGGACCCATTCCACATGGACTCATCTGCAACCCTCACCTTGAGAGTAAAAGCTGCCTGGATTTGTAGGACCAGCTGGTGGGCCGAAATGTTGGGGGTATGGCCTGGGGACTCTGGGGTAGCTCACTCTTGGCTTGTCCGTGCTGACCTTTCCGTGTACCTGTCACAGAGAATCCAGGAGTCCTGCCAAAGCGGCACCAAGTGGCTGGTGGAAACCCAGGTGAAAGCCAGGAGGAGGAAGAGGGGGGCACAGAAGGGCAGTGGCCCCCCAGCTCGCAGCCCGAGCCACAGGAGCACCCGGCTATCAGTGGCCGCCCATGCCCGCTCAACCCTGGAGCCCCGGGAGAGGGCGAATCGCCGCCTCTCCACCCAGATGGGCCCGCATGCCCACCCTCGGCGGCGGTCCAGGAGGGAGGCTGCCTTCCGGAGCCCCTACTCCTCAGCAGAGCCCCTCTGCTCCCCCAGGTGCGTGCAGTAGTGCCTGCCCCGCAAACACTAGCTGGGCCCTGGGGGCTGCTGAGCCCCTCCCGGGGCTACCTGGAGCCAGGGACACCCTGAGCGGAGTCACATCCGTGACCTGGCCCAGCTCTGCGCCCTGCTGGTGGGGGATCTGGGGAGGTCCTTCAGGGTCTTAGTTTCCCCATCTGCCAAAGGAAGAGGCGAGCTTAACTCTGGGAGTAGCACAGTCACCCAAGCCTCCTGGGGAGCCCAAAAGCAAGTTTTGAAGCCATCTGGAGGGCTGAGGCTCACCTGTCTACAAGATCACCTGCCCTTGACCTTGTGGGCCTTGATCCAGCTTTTCTGTGCCATCTGCTCCAAGCTGCTCTGATGTCACTTCCTGGAATGGGAGTCTACGGTGACACGTTCCCAGCCCGTGTGGGTCATCTGAGCCCATACACCAGGCCCGGTGCTGGATGGGAAGGGCTCCTGTCACAGGTTTCCGACTAATGACTGATATGTGTGGCTTTTCCTTCCGTTCAGCGAGTCTGACAGTGACCTAGAGCCCGTGGGGGCAGGCATCCAGCATCTCCAGAAGCTGTCCCAAGAGCTGGATGAGGCCATCATAGCCGAGGAGAGGTAAGCTGGCATACCGTGCTTCAGAGGGCCATGGCCGGGGGGGTCCGCCTTGAGCCAGCCACCATTTTTTAGGCGGGCTCTGGCTCTGCCCTGCTGTGTGACCCTGGTCGTCCCTCTCCCTATCTGAGCCTCTGTCTCCTCTGCAACATGCCTCGGTCTCCTCCTTGATGAAAGACCTAGATTGGGGTGGTGGTTAAGGACATACCCTGCATGTATGTGGCCCCCTGGGCCTTGGTCCCCCACATTTGTCCATCACATGTGGCCGGGTCCCTGGTTCCTGAAAGACCCGCCCTTCCTCTGCCACTCCCCGTGGCTCCTCTCGGCCCTGCCCGCCCACGGAACTGGGGAAAGCATCCTGGCTGCTGTGAAATGCCTGGTCTGTCTGCTTAGAACAGCGTCCCGGGGGCAGGGCCTGGGCCTGGAGCTGCCCTAACTGGGGGCCGTTTGTACGTGGCTGTGACGGCCTCTGAGGCGGGGCCCTGCCGGCTCTGACTACATGCTGAGTGGGCCATGTCCCCGCCACGTTGCCAGGTCTGCTCTTGTCTAGCTCAGGCGGGGAGGGTCCCTCAAAGCCTGCGGCACCCAGCCGCATCTGTCCCTCCTGCTTTCCCACCTCTAGTGGCGACATGACTGTTTCTCTCATTCATGACTGAGGACAGCATCCTTCAGGTAATGCCCTCCTCCTATGCATCTTTCTCTGTGTCTTCCCCCTCCCCCACCTCCTCCTCTTGCACGAGCCCGTAGACATACTTGGAGGCATGTTAAAGAACTGAGTCTTTTCTGGAAAAAGCCACAGAGCCGATGGGCCCCACAGAGCAGGAAGGTGCGAGTCTTCTGAGCTGCTCAGAGCCGGAGCTCCTGACCTCACTGGGCCCATCAGTGATGGAGCAGAGCATACCGGGGCCCCAGGCAGCCGCAGCCACCTTCTAGCACCTCATTTCGGGGGGGCAGTCTATGGTGTCCCCACCTCCCCTGGCTTCAGCACTGTGAGGGGCATGAAGGGAGCTCTGTCTTGCAGGAAGCAAGCCATAGCTGACCACCATGCCCTCACACCCAGGGTCCGCGCCTCCCGGGAGTTCCTGGAGGACCCAGGAGCTGGCAGTGCCCCTGGGCCGCGGCAAACAGGGACCGGACTAACAAGGGCCCAGGTGGAGGCTGCTGGGGGTCTCTGCCCTTCTGCTCCAGCCACTTCCCCGCCCGCCAGTGACCACTTGCCGCAGTCTGCGAGTGACTCGGGGAGACCTCGGAGAGACGGGGGGGCTGCTCATTCTACTCCCCTTTGGGGCTTAGAAACTCATCCCACACGTGAGCTTTACAGTTGCTTCACTTGTAAAGTGCAGTGAAAGCACAAGGTAATATCTGAGAGCTCTGAGCTGCGTACCCAGGAGTAGGGTCTGCAAAGAGTCATCTCCTGTGTCACCAGCGCAGGGGCTCTTGGGAACCCAGATTCTAGCCCTGTTGCCCACAGCAGAGCCCCGGAAGAAGGGATGGGAGAGAGTTCCAGGCCCCAAGACCCTGAGTCCACAGACACCTACTTACATTCTCAGCACAGGGCACCCACCGTGGGAGTACAGGGAGAGGTAGCCCTGTTCAATAGCAATCTCTGCCCTTTGTAAATTATTTAAGAAATCTGCTTTGTCATTTTATTCGAAAGAAACCAGTGTAGGAGTTTCCTAGACAACACTGCTTTTTCATAATAAAGACTCTCTGTATCTGACATCTCTTCGTTGTCACCCTACCCCCTGCGCCGCTCTGAACAACAGGTCTGTGGTCTAGGGCCCGGCTTTGTCGCCCTCCTCCACCCCGACTCCAAGCCAGCCTGCCCCCAGCTCAGGCGGAACGTGAGCAACGGGAAGGGTCTCTCGGCTTAGTTCAGAGCAAAGCACGTTTTAAAGGCAAATAAGGTTTTTATTTAAGTGACAACATTTGAGAGTTAAAAACCAGCTCACATCAAAATCAAGACCAGTTGTAAAAATCTTTTAACTCTGTAATGCTGTTTTTGTCTTGTTAGAAATCTGGTATTTTACATTTTCTTTTCTAACGGATTTTGTACAAGGCAGCCATGAGAAATAGATTAAACCTTTTTCACCACAGAACCGTCCACCACAAATAATACTGAGAGTTACATACTTAGGAACAGTCAGACGGACAAGGTCAGACCGGCTGCCACCGCCGAGGAGACAAATAGAAAAGGACAGCAGGGTCTGGGGGTGGGAGTCCCGACGAGCAAGCCACCCTACCGTCCCACCCCTCCTGGTGTCACCTGCCTCTCCTTGTGCCTGTGAGGGTGGCGGTCAAATTCCTGATTCTTTTTTTCCCATCCACCCTGTTGATTTCTCAGCAAGGAGACAAGGACCCAGGCCAGGCCTCGCTGCTTGGACTTAACCCTACTTGGGGGGGGGGGGGGGGGGGGGGGGGGGGTTTCTTTTGGCTGAGCCAAAGAGAATAGGTTTCCAGAGCACTGGGCACCCAAACCCCCGGGGATTCGGCAGGAACGTTGGTTATTTAAGGCGGGGTCAAGCTGAGGCTCCGCAGGCAGGGCGCCCCTCCCGGGCAGGGCTGCACCTGGGCTGGGTGGGCGAGTGTCCCCCACAAATCCGGCGCCACCTCGGGACCCATTCCCACCTGCCTCGGGGTCCGCCTTTCATTTAACAATCGGCGCCCCGTTTTGTCGGCAGGGCACTTCCAGGGCGCGGGTCTGAGCTCCAAAGCCGTCAAAGTACGGTTTAAAACCCATGAGTTCCAGCTTCCCCTCTTTCAGGGAGCCCACCCCACCCCACCCCAGTAATGTCTGGAATCCTGGGGTCCAAATACGTTGGTTTTCTGTGGCCCAGCACCCAGACTGGAGGGCCCTTTATCCAAATGCATGAAAGAGTCTTACTTTTTTTTTTTTTTAATGTATCTGTTGCGGAGCCTAAGAGAGGAGTTGCCGAGGCCGGAAGAGCAGGCCCTGGCTACAGATGCACCCTGAACCCCCAACAGGGCGAAGGCAGGGGAGGCTGCAGGCAGGCCCTCTGTCGGGACAGCCGCCCCCCCACCCCAAACTAGGAAGAACAAACATGCCACGCAAGGAACAAGGAGCTTTGGTCAGGCGGGAAGATGTTTTCCAGCTCCTGGGGAGCAGGCACACGGAGCTGGAAGGATTCTCTAGAAAACAGCCAGACTGGGGGTCACAGAAGTACTCCAGGAGAGGCAGTGGCACCCCCTCCGGAGAACGACACAAGTTGCTTCTTTGTTTTTCTCCAACTTAACTGGAAGGACAAGATCAAACAAACCACTAGCAGAGAAAGTGCACGTTGGTTACAGAGTTGCTGTGAAAGCAGTACTGAAACAAGTCGAATCTGATCACTATACAGGGCTCCAAGTACACACATTCACACACACCCACCGAAGCTCCCAGAACGCTGTGTTCACCACATCTCACTGTACACCTTCAGCATCTGAGATGCACTTTGTCAGAGCCCCAAACCGGAGCTCCAGAAGGGAAGGGGTGCGGGCCCTACTGCTGGGGCCCACGTCCCGGCTCCAATCCCCACAAGCACAGAACCCTGCTCCCGCGGACTCCAAACTCCTCAGGGTCCCTGCTCTCTCTTGCTCCCAGCCTGGGGTTCTCAGAAAAAAGGGCAGAGGGACTCTAACTGGGGGAGAAGTATCTCACGCTAATCATTTCATCACTTGAGAGCCACACATCAGTGGCTTCTGCAAAAAGGAGATGGAATTTCAGAGAAGCAGACCAACTCCGCCCGAGTGTAACGCAGCGTCTGCTTTGGAAAGGAGGGGAAGGACTGGAGTTGACGAGCTGCTGCTCGATGGACAGCCAAGAAGGATGAAATGTTAAAGGCGGGATGGGCCCGCTGCGAACCGCCAGGAGGCAGGACCATAGAGGAAGCTGGGAGTGATCACCCCTCCCCAGCAGACTTGCCAGCAGCTCTGGGCCTGGGCGCAGAGGCGGCGCTGGAAGTGGAACGGGAGCTGGCAGGCTGGAGAAGACAGAGTTCCAGTGGAGAGCAGGGGTGGGGGCTGGGAGCCCGGAGCCGTCCAGCCCCAGCGGCGCGTCCAGTTTACCAGGTGATTCACAACAGCAGTGCCAGCAGCCCCCACCAGCAGCCGCCACTGGGGAGGACACTGGCCACATGGGACCTGCAAGAGGTAGACAGCAGAAGCGACACTGAGCTGACACAGGTGCCTGCTGGGTATACAGACATCTGGGCCTGGGCAGCCTGGCCCGTGACCCAGAGCCTCGGCTGCAAGAGCTGGATCAGCCTCAGTGACGGCCCGAAGGGCTCAGAGGCAGCCCGGGTAGCCCAACACAGCAGGTGTGGGTCTGGGCCAGGGAGCAGGGGAAGTGCAGGAGACCAACGCCTGGGCCAGGGGCTCAGGAGGAGGAAGGCCTGGGCAGAATCTGAGGGGCCCCAGGAGAGCCAAGCCCTGCCAACCTCAGGGGATGACCCAAGAGGAGGTTACGGGCACCAAACCAAGCTGAGTGGCAGGGGGAAGGGAAGAGAACACAACAGTTTGAGCCAAAATTACATGAACCCCCGCAGCTCTGGGACCTCAGCTGTTACGCCTTCCAGGAGCCAAAGGGAGAAATCACTCTGAGCAGAGCTGGGGAGGGGGAGCCCGACCAGTGCCCTTTGGGGAATGTCTCTGTCCCTGGGACACCAGGTTTGGACCTCAGTGCAAAGCAAACCTCTCTATGGAGCAGGGACCCCTTCCCAGCGACCCCCCAGAGGGGCTTCCTTTGAAGTGGTGGGGCAACGGTGGCTCCCTCCTGCCCACCCCCTGCCCCAGCCCCTCTCTTAGTCTGCAAGGAAGGTATAGATCACTGGGCACTCTGAGGGGCTCTGAGGGGCTCTTAGGCCTGAAAAGCCTCAGAAGGCAGAAGTGCAGGACAACCTAGGAGTCAAAAACTCCCACCAATCTCAGCTCGGGAGACCCCTCCAGTTACAGAAGGAAGGCAGGGCCCAGAGAGGGCAAGCAACAGGCTCAAGGCTCACAGCCAGCCCGGCTAGGCCAGAACCGGGGCCACAGCCTCACAAGGGAGGGCACCAGGCAGGACTCCGGGAAGAGGCATAACTGTCCTCAAGGGCCACGGGAGAAAGGTGAGGAGACAAGAAAGGGGACAATGGACAGCTGCAGGAGGACAGACCGTCAGCACCAGACCCCGCCCCCCAAGGGCCGTGGGCAAACGACTCAAACAGAGGATGAGTCCAGGGGACATCCTCTCGCTCCCAGAACGTGGCCACTTTGCCACAGGAGAGCCAGGCCCAAGATGGTGACCCGGGACGCCACACGGAGGGCAGGCACAAATGCCACTCGACCCTCCAGCAGGCAGCCAGGAAGCTGTACCTGCCAGCGGCATTTGGTCCCTGGTCTGGGGGTTGCTCCCGTTAGGGCCTGCTTAGCATCACTGTGGAAGCCTCAGGAACTCAGGAAGATGGTCGACTTTGTCAAACCCTCCGGCTCCAGGCAGGCCTGCCCCCGGGATTACACAAACATCCACCCTAGCTGGGGCTTGCGCTACAGGCATGATGGGGCAGCAGCGACCGCACTGAGACCCCGGGATCTCACCCCTTCGCAGCCCAGGGAGCCCCCCGAGGCCAGGCAGGGTCCTGCCCCCCTCGCTGGTCGGACACTGCTGGACAGACACGGGAGGGAAAAAGCAGGAAAAGGCCTGTGTCTGCCGGGGAGAAGGCAGCCCGCTGGGGCCCCCCTGCTCTGCGCGCAGCCTGGCCCTCAGGGCACCGACTCGAACTTGGGGGGCCCGCGCGCCCAGCTGAGCGCGGGCAGGGGCCGCTCGTGGTCCTTGTCAGACTCGGGCTGGCTCTGGGCCCGCTCGGGCTTGGGGTTGGCGGGCGGGTCAGGCTGCTGCACCGACATGGTCCGGCGCAGGTGGTTGCGCTTCCGCAGGAACTCGGGCTGTGCGTGGAGGCCGAAGCTGCCCTTGCGCAGAATCATACGCGAGCTGTTCTTCTTGGGGCGCGAGCGGTGGCCGGCCTCCAGCGCGGCCAAGTGCGCGGCGTAGCCCTCGCTCAGGAACTGCGGAGGGGACAGGCGTCAGGCCAGAGGGGCAGGCGGGCCGTGGTCCTGCCCTTCCCCACACCCCAACATCGCCCTCTCCCCGGAACACCCAGCTGCTCCAGGACCTGAGGAGCTCATGACCGGTTAATGCTCCCTGCCCAGCTTTGGGCAACTGAGCGCTTCTGTCTGTACCCCCGGGTCACGCCAGAGTTCCCTGGATTCCTGATGGGGTGAAGCTCCCATCCTTGTCACTTTCACTAAAATCCCCCAAAGGTAAGTCTCTCTCTCCCCTCCTCCAGCTTCTGCCGCATGGAACCTCGTTATTTTCTGGCCCCCGCAGCTGCCCTTCTTGCCCATCTCTCTCCCTAGGTCCTCAGAGCCTTTGCTGCTCAAAGTGTGGGCCGTGGATCACAGCAGCAGCAGCACGACCTGGACCCTTGACGGGCAGGATGTCAGGCCCCAGCCCAGGCCTGGGAATCTGAATCTGCGTTTAAGCGAGGTCTCCAGGTGACCTGTGCGCACCTTAGAGTTGAGAAGCCCTGCTCTAACGGTCCCCACTCTGAGGTCCCACCATCTCTGCCCCTCCACCTGCCGGTCACTTTCAGGCACCTCCCACTCAACGTGGCCCAAAGAGATCATCGCCTTCCATTCAGTCGCCTGCTTTTCAACCCCAGTAATGGGACCACCTACCTGGTC